GGGGGGTATGGGTGTTCTCTTTCGTTCATACTCACACCCACACCCACATCCACCCACACCCACATCCACCCACACCCACATCCACCCACACCCTTTTTCAGATCCTTCTATTTTCAATCTACCACCTGCGGTAGTACCCAACTATGTTCCTGCAATTTTGAAACCTTCCGTAATTTTATAGCTCATTATCATATTATAAAGTATCAATTATACTTCTAAATCCGGTTTTCGACAGCCTTTCATTGGTTATATAATTCACTTTTATATCTCTTGGAATTTCAGCTGTACACCGCTAACAAAAGGTTATGCACAACCCTGTATATAGCCTTAAATCTTTGATTCCCACTTTACATATACATAATAGAGATGCATTGTAGGGAAATATACTGACTTTTGACTATCATGATGTTATCAGAAAATACATCGTATCAGTATATGAATTCACATATTTTAGAGAAAGGTTTATTTACAAGTAGACCGTAGGAACAATTTTTCAAACGAATCGAAATTGAAAAAAAAATACAAAAACAAAGAAAGTGCATTTATTTATTTAATCGCTAAAGAGAATTTTACATGTATAACCATGTTGTTTCTGTTTGACGAGAATATCATGACCAATACCTAACATACAGCATTTTGGATTTGGAGGATTACATAGATGTGACTTATACCACCATTCTGATTCAGGTAGTAAGCCAGGATGCTCATCGGTAACACGTGTTAATATTCCTGTGCAGATAATCGAAGAATCAGGATCGTTAAAGTCAACGATAGATTTACCATGAGAGTTAATAACCCATTCGATATATGCGTTGTTTATATTGGGATCGATAGTAGTATTAGCGGCACCTAGTGTTTCTTTATCTTCTTTCACAATATTACTTGGATGAACACGGCACTCTAATACGAATTGTACGTATTTACCCGATTTGAAAAATTTTTTTCTAGTTGATGATTCAATTAATTTAACTTCAGAATATCTTGGATGAGCAGCATAATTAACCGATGGAGTTGCATATATTCCAGCGCCATGCTCATCACTTTCTGCTGGTTTCAATCCACTCAATAAAATTGATAAGCCATGTGCAAATTTTGTACCATGATAACCAATACACCATCCCTTGAATTTTTTATCAAAGTTATCAGTAACATAAAATGACCATCGTTGCCATCCAACAGGACAATAATATGGTTTATTTCCGCGATCTCTTCCATCATTATTAGCACCTGTCCAATAATCATGTCCAATAGCATAAATGCGATTATAATTTGGATTTAACTGAATTTCTGCACGACGTTTTTGCATTTTAAAGAATGATTTTATAGGACCCATAAACATAAGAAAGATTTTCATTATACCGAACTGTTCTTTAAGTTTGTCTGTGATTTTATGAACAAACATTTTTAAACATATTTTCTTATCATCTGCTTCAAATTTATTAAAAATCTCTGCTTCTAATATAGCTGAACCTACTTGTATTTGTTTCATTGCTATATCATTGATGTTCAAATCTGCTACATCACAAAGCTGATTTAAAAAACCATGCAAATCAAATTTCTTATAATCTACATCAATTCCGATTTTTATTGATGATGATGGTATTCTACTGCTATTATCCAAAACTTCATCAGCAATTGATATTAATGGTTGGTGGGTGAGATGATAATATTCTTTACATTCTTCATAGTAATCTTTTTCTTCTTTCGTTAACGGTTTGTCAGATAAAAATTTTGCTGTGGATAATTCGCTTCCTATTAAAATATGTTGAAGATAATGTTCATGTTTAAAATAGATCTTTGCAAAACTGAGCGTCATTATTTCTGTGTTCCAACTACTAAAGAGTATCGTTTATCTGATGCTACGCAATAAGCTCTCAATCAGGAGTAGAATAGCAAGCTTCTTGGGAACAACGTGTCACAAAATTTTAACGTGTGTATTTTTATATAGCCTACCTTTATCGAATAAGACTACATTATTGAAGTGATATACTCAATATCGTAAAAAATATTTTCTCAAAGAAAATATTTACCATTCAAATACACTTGCTGATGTTGTTGTAATCCGTTCATAGAGAACGGTCTTTGCTGTTTATTACTGTCGCGGTACACTTTGTTTGCTATATCTTGGAAAACATTATTCATTTCGACATTTTCTTGAGCAATATTTTCTAATAAATGTTTAGCGAACGAATCATTGTTGATTGCTTGATTAGCGGCGCAAGGGAACTGAATAAATGCTCCATTCGGTGGTTTCATCTCTTGTAAGCCATTGCTTTTGGTCATAGCTAAAAAACTTAAATACTACTTTTATATTGTAATAAACGTCACTGCTCACAAGTTGCTCCTGATTCGCCTTTCAATACGTAGGGTCTGCAACAGTCCAAAATTAATATGGTTACGAATGATGGATTTCTGTTTACTAGACGAGAGAGTGCTGATTCAATATTATAACCAAAATCTTCAACATCTCGTAAACTCTCTATTCTATCATCATCTACCGGTATTAGATAGTTTTTTCCCTTCACCGAATAACCATGACCCGAAAAATAAACGAGGATCAAATCACCATCGATGATCTTTTTCAAATAAGCGTTGATATTCATTCCCATCTCCTGTTTGCTCAAGTTGCGAACTGTTGTAACATCGAAATTGATTGTTTTCAGTAAATGGCCCAATTGTTCAACGTTATTGATAGAATTGCTCAGTTTGTTTTCTGGTCGATTGTAATCATTGTTTCTGATGAGCAATGCTAGTTTTTGACGATCAGATGATTCTTTATGGGATGTAGCCATTCTTTAGTAAAATCTAAAATACTACATAAACAATCACGATGATCTCAACTTCAGAAACTTTTCTGCTAACAAGCAGACAATAGCTACTTTCATTAATAATCATAATTTACTGTTGCAATATCCACAGATGATCACCTTTCTTCATCTAGATATCCCATTATCTCGCTCATTGAGAATTAGATCTGAAACTTCAAGAATCCATTTCAGCTATCATTTTCGTGTTTTTTCTTATGAGCACACTGAATTATACAGTCCAAACTGTACCTGAACTCAAACTGAAACAAGTAGCTCAGAGATTACTACAGTTATTTATTATTACATATACACCATTTCCTTCATAGTTCGCAGAAAACTTGAGCTTATTTTACATTTAGTTCGCATTATATTTCGCACGTCGCAGAGTCTTTCGACATTTCTTTGTCATCATAATGAAGCTAATCATTTGAGACTCTGAATGTTGGAAAAGCTGCAACTCGCTTGGGATCCTTCAGAATGGTATTAAAAACTGACATCATACAGCTCTCTTAGGGAAATAGTGATCTATAAAACACAGTCATCGATGAGAATATAATTCTGAATAGCTCCAATATTTTGAAAACCAGCGAAATACAAGATAGAAAGTAGATAGATACAAGAAATGTATTTCTTCTCCAAAGATTGCATATCATTTGACTGCAATTATGTGCCTCACCACATCTATTATATTTTCGGTCTAAAATTTTTGGTGAGAATCCAACAGATAACCTGTATTTTTAGTGAAATATATCGATGTTTCATAAAAAGTTTAAAAACGCATAGCCATCTTGAGGTCGTACGAAACTTTAATGCTCTCGAACAGTTTCATTTCTTTACAAAAATCGATTAAAAATGAAGAGAACTTTATGCTATACTTATGAAAAAGAAAGAAACTAAAAACAATAATACTGGAAAAATGGCACAAAAGTCATTGGACAGTGTTTCGCAACGGAGACACACAGAAGCCTGAGCAAAATAAGTTATTTTTCATACAAATGTGACAACACTTACTTTTTTATTAGGAATTGGCAATTTCACTTTTCTTTCAGAAAGGAAAGTTAACAGGTGAGACAGACATTGAATGTTGAAAGCCCTTGTATATATACGATCCATTTATATTAAGTTTTGAAAGATCAGTTTTTAATGAGTCGAAGTTTTTGAGATTTGGTCATGATTAGGGATGCAACGGTGACGGTGGCCACCGGTGTGATCGGTTAACGGTTCACCCATTACACCGGTCTCATCGTTCCGCCGGTTCACCGTAGCACCTGTGCCATCGGTTCACCGAACCAATCGATGCCACCGGTCTATCGATCACCGCAGTAGCGATGCACCGTTCACCGTTCCACCGGTACACGGGGACCGTAAGCACCGGTCACAATGTACTGCAAATAAAGCTACTCAGGTTCAACTGATTCCTATCAAAAGTGAAGCTGATCACCTCATAATCGAGAAGTGCACATTTAATTGGTATCCATCTACTTCCTGTGATTTATGATCATACTTCACAAATTGAATAGAATGTTTCCAGATACTGACAGCTCCATGAATACGCTACTGACTGTAAGCATACGACAGAGAACATCAGCATGCTCATATAACTGAAATTTGTTCGTGTGAGGCTATCTGAATATGGAAGATGCTTATTAAAAAAACAAAACAAATTAGGTATGTGGTATCAACAAACACCTTTAAGGTCAACAATACCTATTAGGACGTCAGAAACCTACGGTGATCGCCGGTTTATAACATTCTACCGACTCATTGAAGTTCAGGATAATCAGCAGTGCGCATTTAATCGCCATCACCGTAGGTTTTCTTGGTCCTATCGATCCCATAACCGGCATGATCATCACATTCATCGAGGAAGAAAATTTTCATCGACTGTAGTGAATAGGTCTAAATTATATCTTTTTAAGCATTAGCATTAACCCTAATCATGCAGGTTCGGAGAGCGGAGACCCATGGTGGCAGGCAGCTTCTAGTATTTCACAGACTCATTGAAGCTCAGAGCAATCAGTGATGCCAATCTAGTCGTCATCACCGTATGTTTTCGTGAATCTATCGGTCATATAACTAGCTTTGTAGACACAGTCTCTAAGAAAACTTTTCATCTGCCGTTTCGTCATGTACTCAAATATGTAGTTTTGTACATCACCATGGAAGTTTAAAATGCTGGTTAGAGAGCGGGAATCTACGGCGATGACCGATTTGCAGCATTTGACAAGCTCATTGATGCTCAGGATGGTCAGTAATGCTCTTAGAGCCACCATCACCGTAGGTTCCTGTGACAATATCGGTCCTATAACCGACATTGCTATCACACTGATTTAGGAAAAACTTTCATCTACAATAGTAAATCGCTGTAAACTATATATTTTTAAGCGTCACTATGTAGTCTAATAATGCCGGTTACGAGAGCAGACACCTAAGGTGATAGGCGATTTCTAGCATTTTACAGATTCATCGAGGCTCAGCGTAATCAGCAGTGTCCATATAGTCATCATCACCGTAGGTTTTCGGGACCCTATTGATCCTATTATTAGCCTTGTAGTCACACCCATCTTGGAAAAGATTTTTCATCATCAGT